CTTTCTACGAAGTCCGTTGTCTTCCCAGGCAGGGAAAAACTCAAGGGACATTATCAATAATGGGCTTAAAGTGCAGCAGGGGAGGTTTAGATTGGACATTAGGAAAAAATTCCTAACTGTCAGGGTGGTCAAATATTGGAATAAATTGCCAAGGGAGGTGGTGGAATCTCCCTCTCTGGAGATATTTAAGAACAGGTTAGATAGACATCTGTCAGGGATGGTGTAGACGGAGCTTGGTCCTGCCTTGAGGGCTGGGGGCTGGACTCGATGACCTCTTGAGGTCCCTTCCAGTCCTATTATTCTATGATTCTATAACTTACCTGACCCCATTATCTCTGAGCACCCTGTAAGGCAGGCATGTCCAAAGTCCAGCCCGTGTTCCGGTTTAATACGGCCCCACGGGTAATTTGGCAATATCTATCTTTTATGGCCCCTAATGAATCCATATGTATTGAGATGAATACATTGTAAAATCTCAGTTAATGTCAGTTGGTCTAAATTAGTTATAAATATATTTGGACACAACATGTATACTTGGTGTTATGTTCCTGTTCATATTTTTTGAACTTAAAAGTTGACAGACAGCCTTTATTACCAATAATATATAATGTACTTTACAATGTTCCTGACATATATTTCAGCTTCCTGGATTTTTTTTTCATCTGGCCTTCAGATATGAAAGGCAGAGTGATTTAACACCTGTTTAGATTTGTCATCCATGTGACGAAATGAAAAGTATGCCGTTTGCAATAAACTTTGCATAAAATAGTTCATTTGCGTTTAATTTTAATGGTTCAAAGAATGTCAGGCAAAATGGTCGGCCCTCACGCTTGTTCACTTCATAAAATCTGGCCCTCTTTGAAAAAAGTTTGGACACCCCTGCTGTAAGGTATTCATCCACAGGACACCCTGCTGAGTTGGGGAGTGCTATTATTCCCACTGTACAGATAGAGAACAGACACACAGATACACTTAGGCTCAGGTCTCCCTGGGTATCTAGGGCAGCTCAGTGGGAACTAGATACCTGAGGCTCTGGGTCTCAAGCCAAGGGTGGCTGGTTTCTTAGCAGAAAGTCCAATGGAAAAAGGGACCTGGCAATGTCTGGTCAGAGCCACTGACTGGACATCCAAAGTCCAGTTGCTGTGGGCAGAGGAGGCATGGAGGCACCTGCGCCAACTCCTACTCATCCAGGGCCACCTCCTACTTGAGTTGGGCAGCTGCTCCAGCCCCAGCTTTGCAGGCAAGTCCCTACCAACCCAGGCAGATGTGGGAGTCATAGGAGAAGAGCAGTGAGTGATGGGAGCAGGAGGAAAGAGAAGTGAATGAGGGCAGGGCCCTGGGGGAAAGGGCAGAGTAGGGGGTGAGTCCTGGGGGAAAGGGGCAGGGCAGGGGTGGGAACCAGGTAACCAAATAGTAAGTTTGAAAAATCAGGAGGGGGAGGGGATAGACAATTGTATAAAGACAAAGCTGTGAATATCAAGACTCTCCCTAAGAAATCGGGACTGTCCCTATAAAATCAGGACATCTAGTCACTCTAGGTGAGAAGGAGAGGTGCTGGAGTGTCTGGTTTTTAAATATCAGAGAGGCTGGCAAACCTACTCAGGCCTTGTCTTCACTATGAAAAAAGCATGTTCATTATGCAAGGTACAATCCCATAGACCCAGGCCCTCAAATAACTTTTAAAATTAGGTCCCTACCCTTCAAATCAACCAAACTTCCTGTCTTCACTAAGTGCTCACCTCAAGGTAGAGCTGGCCCAGTGTCACGTGGAAGGAAGCCTGTGATGGAGCAGTACCTTGAAGGCTATTGCCTCAAGTTCTAGGTTAGTGCCCTAATCCTTCCTCTTGGTTAAAAACAAACATGTGCCATTAGCTCCTTTGCAAGTGGAAGGGAAACTGAGTCCTTGCACTGAGAGCAGGAATTCACAGAGCCCAGGACAAGTCTACACTTAACACACTGCATGGACACAGCTGTATGGTGCAGCTGCACTGTGGTAGCACTTAACTGAAGACACTCCAAGCCAACAGGAGAATGCTGCTTTCCGAGCAACATCGTTATTCTACCTCCCCTATAACTTCTCCTGCAACATAGCGCTGCCCACATGGGGGGCTAGGTCAGCATAACTCCAGGTGTGGATTTCATACATCCGAGGAGGTAGTTACACCAATGTAGGTCGGCAGCATGGACCAGACCTCTGTGCCCTATCCAGTCCCTGTCCTGCTCTGCCGATGGCATCATTAGAAGTTTATCTCCACTTTAAAGACGTTCCCAATAAACCCTGGAGAGCAAAATCATCATCACTTTAGATTTTAAAACTATTGATGTAAAAAGGGGTCATTTTATTACTTTTATGGTATGTTTTTTCCATTATTTGCATAATTGTTAAATGCTAATAAGGCCATTAGCAATTATTATAGCTGAATAATGAGGCAGCAGTAACTGGCCTATTGTATTTTAATGAAATTCTTAATTGTTGCTGGGGGTCGCAAAGTTCTTTTGTCCAATCTCTTTTTCCATTAAAGATGCTGCTCACATGAACAAGGCACGGATAAGGAGACAAGAGGAGCTACTGGGAAAGCTCTTATTGAGAGGCACTTTTACTTAAAGGGGAGAAAACAAAACCTTTGGACTTGGCTACTTTAGGTCAAATTAACCTCTCCCCTCCCCCAAAATCCATCTTCTCATTTTGACTTTAGGGTTAAAATGAAAACGTTGGTGCCTTTAAACATGAAATCCCAGTTTGCTGGATGTCGCCGGTCCCAGGATCGGAGCGCAGCCTTGACTTCCCACTGCATCACATAGTGAGGGTAGCTTGTGCCAGTTCCCCCAACTGAAAGCCTACATCAGAGTCAGCTGCACTCTGAGTCAGACATGGCCAGTTAGTCATCCCCAGCCCCTGCTCCCTCCAGCCCCCACAGTGCACAGCAACAAATGCCAGTACCTCTGGAAACTAGTCCCTGAAGCTGCCACTCCTAGGCCAAAGTCCACTTGCTGTGGAGAGACAAATGCCAAATACACACCTCGTGAGTGAGCACAAGAGACACCCCGTGCCACATCCACATGCCAAAAGACACACAAACAGCACACACAAGAGAGACACCCCAACATACACAATGCTGAGAATGACACAGCGCACAACACACATACGCTACAAAATACACAATGAAAATGTAACACCGCCCTGCTCTGGGGCCTTTACAG